GGAGCAGTGGGACCTGCCCTCCTACATCACCATCATCATCCAGATGGCCAACGTGGGGCCGCTCTTCGTCACCCTCATGCACCGCTTTCGGCCCGGCTTGCTGAAGGAGGTGGCCGTTATCTACGTGGTGGTGTCTGTGGGCGTCGTGGCCTGCTTGCTCCTGGCCTTCCTCTGGGACCACACGTCCCCCATCGCCGGGAGGCCCCGCAGCGTCGCCTTCCTGCTCCTCACCTTCTTCCTGTCCCTGGTGGACTGCACCTCCTCCGTCACCTTCCTGCCCTTCATGATGCAGCTGCAGCCCCAATACCTGACCACCTTCTTTGTGGGTGAGGGGCTCAGCGGACTCATCCCCGCTCTCGTCGCCCTGGGCCAGGGCTCCGGCATCTCCAGCTGCACCAACATCACCCGCGTGGTCAACGACACCACCGGCAACGAGACCACCATCTTCCAGCTGGAGACCCGCTACCTCCCGGCCAACTTCTCCTCGCTCGTCTTCTTCCTCCTCCTGACTGCCATGATGCTGGTCTGCTTGCTGGCCTTCTTCTTCCTCACCAGGCAGCCCAAGGTGTGGGAGCTCTCCCAGCAGCAGCTGGTTCCCAGCAACATCATGCTGAGCTCCTTTGACCAAACCCCCGATGAGGCAGCGAACTCATGGCTCAGCGGAGGCTGCCCATGCCCGAAAGAGGCCAAGGGGCCTGGGGACGTCCCGCCGGAGAAGGTGTCCTACCCCTTGCCCAAGCTGACCTTCATCTACCTCCTGATCGCATGGGTGAGCACGCTGATGAACGGCGTGCTGCCGTCCGTGCAGTCCTACTCCTGCCTGCCCTACGGCAACACCGCCTACCACCTCACGGCCACGCTCAGCAACATGGCCAACCCCCTGGCCTGCATCGTGGCCATGGTCCTGCCCAGCAGGTGGGTACCGGGGGGACGGGGGACGCTGTGGGGTGCACCCCAGTGGCTCCCGTCCCAGGAACAGCCCCTGCTTTGCAGTGGTGGGGGGAGAAGGCACTGGGTGGGAGGGGGTCCATGGGGTACTGGCAGCAGGGACACCCCAAAAGGAGGATGGGGTCAGCATGGAGCCCATCTGTGGGTCACCCTGGTGTCACCCACAATGTCCCTTGCAGGTCCCTGGCCCTGCTGGGTGCCCTCACCGTGGCAGGGACGGGCTTTGGTGCCTACAACATGGCCATCGCGGTGATGAGCCCCTGCCCGCTCCTCCAGCACTCCCAGTGGGGCGATGTCACCATCGTAAGTCACCACGTCCCCCTCCCCTCCGAGGTCTCCGGGGCCACCCCTGGCTCTGGCCTCACCCCAATGTCCCCCGTCCTCGTGTTGGGGGACATCCCTGACCCTTCTGCACGCTCCCACCCTGCGCCCCCAGGTCCTCTCGTGGGTGCTGTTCACCGGGACGTTCTCCTACGTGAAGGTGATGGCCGGGGTGATCCTGCGGAGCCGCAGCCGCAGCGCACTGGTGTGGTACGGGGCCGTGGAGCAGCTGGGGTCCCTCCTGGGGGCCCTGCTCATGTTCCCCCTCGTCAACATCTACGGCTTCTTCGAATCCGCCGACTACTGCAGCGTGAAGTGCTCGGCATGAGTGGGGCAGCCCCCTCCAGGACAGCCCCTCTTGCACCCCAAAAAACAGCCCAGGTAGCAGCGCTGGGACCAGGGGGTCGCTGTGGGGACGTCTCCAGGCTTTGTTCCCGAGCTCCGAGGTGTCCCCATCGTGTCCAAGGCAATAGAAGGTGTTTGTTCAGCCCTCGGCCTCGCTGCTCCCCGTGTCCCCTCCCTATGCCAGTGTCCCCCACCTGGGTACTGCTTGACTGGGATCACCTCCCGTCTCTTCCCCTGGGCCGGTACTGTCCCCCAAACCTCCCCCGGGACCCCA